TTTACACATTAGAATCTCACAGTGGCAAATACAAACTTCCCCAATTCTCATTTTCAGAGTTCAAATTTCGACTAGCCATCAAGGCTGTCAGTTGTTTTCCTTAAAGTGACCAATGAATTTTATTCATTTTCAAGAAAATGCCTGCTAATAACCCAAGACTAAATCTATAGTTTGGCTGTTAATCTTTCAGGTAAAAATGGTGCTTCCTGAAAAAAACTTCTGGTTCAGCTCAAATGAATTACAGTTACTTTTCCTCAATTCAGTCATCACACTTTGGTACACAGTGAGAACATTTTCCATTTCCATCCCACAGAATATTAAGAAAATATATACACACAAGGGTAATATTTAATAAAATTAATTTTACTGCTTCATCAAAGGCATTCTTAAATGGGACTGGAATACTCTTTACTGAAAGCGCCTGCTGGAAAGATGCAATGACTATTGAGTACGGGTTGGGCCACTGCCTATATCATGCTAACAAGCCAGAGTTTACCCTCCACAGCTTGTCTACCAAATGTCATAAAGTGTAAATGTCATCACTGTGAAAAGGGCAAACAATACTTAATGAAATTAGTTTAGACTTGATGGACACATAAGACAGTCTTGAGGACCTGGAGAAGCCCATTTGGTGAAGAAAAAAAACAAAAAACAGTTCTATATGAAACAAAAATTATTTTTAAATTGCAAGCAGTAGGAAGTCATTGCCTTTAAAAGTGGTTAGTGGCAGCTGGGTACCACAGCCCATGCCTTTAATGCCAGTGACTCAGGAGGCTGAGGCAGGAGGATTGAAAGTTTGAGGCCAGCCTCAGTAACTTAGCAAGACTCTGTGTTAAAATAAAAAAGGGCTAGAGACGTAGCTCAATGGTAGAATGCACCTGGATTCAATCCCCAATACCAAAACAAACGAACAAACAAACAAAAAAACACCCCCCAAAAAAACTTGTTACCAGTAAAAATTTTAAGTGAGGGATCTTAAGGACTATGGTCTGACTTCACCAATTTTCAAAAAAAGAAACTAAGATTCAGAAGTGGAGGGTGAAGGGTAAAAGATCTGCCCTTATTTATTAGGCAAGTCAGACAGGAGCCCATTAGGAGCTCTCTCCCACCCCATCCTGCTGATTTAACAGCACCTCTGACACAGGCACAGTAGAGAGACCTTATTGATATAGGGAGACCCGTGTTTCTGATCCCAGTGGACAAATATTATTCAGTTTAAAGGACCACAGATAGGATGTATTTTTTACATTTTAAGTAAAAATGATAAAAATTTTTACTTCTGGTTTCAGCTCCAACAGGAAAAGAGCCTGGTAGTTGTTACTTCCGTCCTTAAAGAAAAATTTGAACTAAAATTATTGATCTTGGATCAATCAGTAAATTGAGGTTGTAGGGCAAACTTTACCAAACACATGGAGAAATAAACCCCGAGAATCACAGTTGAGATCTGCTTACCTGTAGTAGGAGCCACTGGAACTGACAGGAACACTTCAATGGCAAGTTTGAGGAACTGTTAGAGGTTGTGTATGAACTAGTGAGGTCATAGTCTTGGGAAGCCCCCTTCTGGTTATGAGTTTTACTTCCAGGAACCCCACCAGGTCCTCAAAGTGAAGAGCCAATAAAGACCCCCTCATGGCTCCTAGGGGGAGGGAAGCCCAAAGTCTAAGGCTGGGGGAACCCAAAACAAGGACCCTGTTGGAATAGGAACCTTCTAGTACCTACAGTTCCAGCAAACATTACACACAGCCTAACTCCTAGGCACAGTAATAAAACACCTTACATTAAAGGCTTATTTACCTCAGTTCCTATTATCCTCTATCATATCTTGCTTCAATAAAAATTTACAAGGCATACTACAGATTAAAGTCATTCTAAAACAGACAAAAGATAGAAAGAGAGCGTCAGAACCAGACTTAACATATGACACAGATATTGCAACTACCAGCCAGGGAATTTAAATTAACTATAATTATTAATATAATTCTTGGTTGTTTTTATTGCTCCTGGGCACAGAGAAGCTACTCCTTCACTTGGCTGCTTTCTGGAGGAGGCCACCAGTCAAGTTGCAGCCATGGAAGAAGGTGGGAGTCTCTGAAGTCTGACTGTTGGATAGCTCAGTCTGTAGGTAGACCGTGACAGGAAACTTTTGTGGCTTCTCCCTCCACTCATTATAAATGTGATACCAGAAGACCTTACTTTATGACCAAGCCACCTGATCCACTGTTTTTATACAGAATGTATCAAGAGTTTTTATGGCAAGTTTTTAGTTTTTAAATTCCAGGATTAAGATTTCTGGGGCCTCTTCCAATTTGAATAAGCTGCTTCTAGTCAAAATGGTGCAATAAACAATTAAGATGGCCCTGAAGGAATTAGACACTCTTGCATCCACTCATTTCCCGGCTACTCAGGAGGCCAAGGAAGGAGGATGTTTTGAGCCCAGAAGTTCGGGGCCAGCTTGGCAGCATAGTGAGATTCCATCTCAAAAAAAGAAAAAGGAAAAAAATAATAATAATAGAAAAGATGGCCTTGGAGAAAGACCACCAAGTGGTATATCTCTGCTATCCTTTTACCTGGGGAGTTTGAGTTCTCAGATTAGAAGCCAACAGCTTGGTGAACAGAGCTCTGGTGCTCAGTGGCATTAGGGCTCAAGCAGCTCACAGATTTGACTTGGGCCCTCTGAACTACCCAACCTTCTTTCCTTCTGGTTTCCAAGAGAGGAAACCCTCAGTGGAGGGCTCTAAAGAGCAGCAGCTACAGTGGCTCCTTCTAGCACCTATAATTTACTGGCAAAATCTATTAGAGCCAAGGAATGCATGGGTGAAGCAGGAACATCAAATCTGCTTTGGGCAGAAACACCACTAGAGAGTCAAAAAGAATGATTTAGGTGGAGGCACTAGAACACAAAGGAAGACTGCAGCCTTAAAAACACAGATGGTCTGACACTTCTGGAAAGTATCCCAAGTTTACTCAGTTCCTGCCCCTTTGTGTGCTCAACCAGTCAATCCCCCCAGCAGTTACTGAGGACGTACTAGGTGCAAGTTCCTGTTGATGCTTATTGTTGCCCCTCATATTGAGTACATGCTCAGCAGGTCCCTCCCAGCCACCTGGCTGCATGACTCTACGCACCGATTCTACAGGGCTGAAAATAGGCAGCTGGGCTAGAATAAGAATCTATTGGTAGTAAGTCAGTCCTTGCTGTTTATCTATCCTCACTTTATTATACTCTATTTTGAAAAATGCTTATACAGCATTTAAAATGTGTCAGGCACTGTTTTAGGTACATTATAAATATTAATTTATTTAATCTTCATAACAAGCCTGTAGCGTAGATATTATCATCACCTTTATTTTGAGATAAGGACACTGAGGCACAGAGAGGTTAGATAATCCTGCCTAAGGTCACAGCTAAGTGTAGAATTAGAATTGGAACTCAGCAGCCTATCTCTAGTCTATGCCTCTGCTGAGCAAAATATTTAACAAAAGGGGCTTAGACATTTAGTAAGTAAGTATCAGGCATTTTTGAGGGCAGCCATACTACTTTAACCAAGATTCTTCAGTGCAAAAGTTAAAAGGATATAACGACAAAAAGATGCAAGGTACCAGTGGCTGCAGCACCACATACACCACATCTTCATTCTTTGGCTACTTCTGTGTGCCTCAAAAGCTTTCTGCAAGGGAACATATGCCAGATAGCCCCATACCTCTCCAAGGCCAGGCTGAATGGTGCAGACCAACAGGGAGTCATCAGTGCTCATGGCCATTTAAATTTATCCTAATGACAAGTAAATAAAATTTAAAAATTAGTCCCCTTAGTGGCATTAGCTGTATAACAAGTGCTCAACAGTCACAGGGAGGCCAATGGGTACCATAATGGACAGCACCGAGAGAACATTTCTATTATTACAGAAAGTTCTCCTGGCTGCACTGAGTTAGACCTGTGATTTCTTTTTAAGCTTTAGTCTGAATATATTTAATCATAATAAGTTAATCTTCTTCCCCACTAGAAATACACAAAATTATATTTCATTTCTTAAAAGCAAATTTTTACTCTCAAGTTCAGTTTTAAGGGTTGGAGTGGATTGTTTACAAGCAAGTCAACTGAAATTTCTTACCCGTGTACCTAGGATGTTAATGTCTTTCTACAATCATGAGTGAAAGTTCAAAATCAGTGAGGCAAAAGGCATTCATTAGAAAGTACAGCAGGCAGCAAAATCAATTTTGTTTATAGACTTAACTTCATGTGTTGGATGTTAACCTTGGGGACGTGTAACTTGACTGGTCACAAGGAAGCTGGACAAGAGACGGAATCGAAGTCTACACAATCTAACAGTCCATCAGAAAACAACTCAGATGCATATGCTACTACATAAAGTAGATATTTCCAAATGCTTAAAAAAAATGCCATACATAAACAAGCCAGACTAATGGAAGCTGTGTATCTCAGGGACAATAGTGCCTAATTTCCCACTGATAGTTTTTTCCTACAACAATTTCTAGTATCTTTAGCCTCCATTACGAGGGGACATAAATAAATAATACTGCCATTCCATTTCATGTGGGTTCACTTGAATAGAAAAGCCACAATTAAAACATGAATAACTTAACAATAAATCACAAATTCTAGAACACTCCCATAACTAAGGAATCTAAAATCCAAATTCTCCATTTTCCCAATCTGAAAACTACAGAATTCTAGAAAGACGATCCCTTTGGCTATAGGAACTGGCTTGTTCTAACACAGATCTTTATTTTGAAAATTCTCCTCCCTGTCCTTTCCTCCATTTCTTTTCCCATCCTTACTATCTACCCTGTTATTTTTATTAACACAACTGAACTCAGAACTTTAAAATTTTTTTTGGATGAATGAGGCATTGTTTAGCAAGCAGGGCTTATAGGAACGATTAATGTCTAGTTATTTAATGTTATAAAAACACCTTGAGCTTCTCAAGAGATGCAAATTGTTTTAAAAGATGCAATAATATAGTAATAATTATATTACATACTTGTGACTTCTTGTAAGAAATCCAAACACGGTCGACTACTTCCCGAAATACTTATTGAAACAGCCAGTGGGGTCTGACCTTCATAGTTCCTTGTGTTTGTGTCCGCTCCATAGTTATATAACATCCGTGCACACAGCACATCATCCCGAAGGGCAGACAAGTGTAAAGGAGTCTGTCCATCTTCTAAACGCCCCAAGTTTGTGTCTGCCCCTCTCTGAAGGAACATTCGGCAATAAGAGTGATTACTTTTGATCACAGCATATCGCAACAGGAATCCATTCTGAATGTCGATGTTGGCATTGTGGTCCAGGAGGATTTTTACACAGCTTGACCTCTCACGGATGATGGCGAGCTGAAGCGGTGTTGTACCTTTATCACTGAGTGGGTCAACCTCAGCCTTGAACTCCAGAAGGAGTCGGACAAATGAGTCCCTACCATAGTGAGCGGCCACATGGAGGGGAGTCCAACCATCATTGCTTTTTGCATTAATAATGTCACTCCTGTATTCCGATTCTAACATCAAGCGTGCAATCCGGGCCCGGCCATGCATGGCTGCGTAATGAAGAGCAGTGAAGCCTCCAATTAAGTCTTTAACCGTGGGATCAGCTAGAGTTAAAACCAAAATGAAAATGTTAGCAGAGTCTAAGACAAAACAATGTACTCTCCCATGGCACAGCACTCCAATTCTAGCCAATTCTCGTACAAAATGTGAAGGGATCAAACATTACAAAGAACATCAAGTACTTTCTCCCCTCAGTTTAACTGAAGTCTACTTTCCACGAAAAACAAATTTTAGTAGAAAGTTATCAAGCCTGAGCTAGTGGAAGGAAAAACACATACAAAATGTTTACACTGATAGATATCAAAAACAGAGTTCAGACCATCATATCCCCTCTTTGCTAATTTAACCAACTCCTTTGGCTACCTTACACCCCTATCTCTGCAGTCTCCATTTTCTCGTTTGTTCTGAATGTTTCATTTTCTCTTGCACTTCTTCTTGGTCCTAAAGAGAAGCATGTGCAGCAACATCTGCTGCTCTGAATTATGGATAATACTCTGGTCTGGCAGACTGTGTTGTTTTAGGGCATATTTGATAAAAAAAAATATAATATAAAAACAGTTTTTCTGTGGCCTGTAAAAATTCTAAAGCATGCAAGATGTTAAAGTGATCTTGATAGATCATGTTTCCATAAAATAAAATATGTCTCTGAATTCTTAGTTTTACATGGTCTTAGGAATTCATAAGAATTAAGTACATAGTACGTGAAAAATGGGGAGAAACTCAAGCACTATATAAATGCTATGTGCTAAAACTTTTTTAAAAACCTCTCCTTAATTGACTGATTTCTGGGGGGAAAAGGTACCAGAATTCATCTGCTATGTGACCTTTGAGTCACTTCTGTCACTTGCCCCAGTGTTTTCATTAAGGCAAAGGTCAGTTCTCTGTAGCTTGAATCCCTCTGGTATTCCTGCACAGTGGGCAGAGCAGGTTCAAGATCTGCTTCCTCTAACTCATACAGGCTACTTCCTGGAAGCCAGCAGTTCATTGTAGGATATAAACTGGCCAAACGTAATTACTAGGATTAAATGGGTTTCTTATAAAAGTCATCTTGAATTTTCAGTTTGTTGATAAAAATAATAAAAAAAAAACAATAGTGATTTTCACACACACATACACAAAATGCCTCTAAAGTTATGTGATTAAACATTCATAAGTTGTTTAGTAAAATGTAAGATTTAGTTCTAGAATATATTACAATGGATGGATTCTGTTAGAAAAATCTTAAGGCAGAAAATTATATGTTAAAATATGAATAATACTATGGAGAGTGACATTTTCCATTAAGAAGGATTTGCTAACAAAATCTATGAAAAATAATGCTTTTTAGGTAAACCATATCATTTGAATTTCTAAAAACACTTAATCTAAAGTGACAGTATACAATGGTAATGTCATTTTAATCAGTTTAGAGAAAATAAGTGTATCTCATCTATGTTGGTTTTACCTAAAAGAAAAACATACAGCATCTATTTACTCTCCCTTCAAACAGGCAGGCAAGAACATTTTAGCAAAGCATTTTGCTGCCATCTACTGGTTATAGTGTGAACATAAACTATTAAGTTTTATTTTGACAGATGATGCTTAGCAAATCTGTTTCACATAACTTTGCTCATCTTAAATAAACTTAAAAAGCAAAGACAGGTATGATATCCAAAAGATTCTCTCCCATTCAAATGTTGCAAGCAATCTTGCCAAAATGTCCTTTTCAATCTATACCTGGCCAGGCAACTGTTTCCTGACCTCTTCAACTGTGAGTAAAATCAAGAATACCTTCTTTCACTTCTCCCACCTTTCATCCACCAGGGGAGCCTTCAAAGGTGTCAGCCAATACCTTATTTGCATCCTATACTCATTCTAAATTAAAACTGTGTTACATGAAATTGCACTTGCATCTTTGATTTCCACTTCAGGTTTGTTTTTTTGTACTGGGGATTGAACCCTCTGGGGTGCTTTACTACTAAGCTACATCCCCCAGTCCTTTTTGATTATTTATTTTGAGACAGGGTCTCCCTAAGTTGCCGAGGATCATGCTCAATTGCAGAAACTGGCCTTGAACTTGTGATCCTCCTACCTCAGCCTCCTGAGTTGCTAGGACTGCAGACATACCCCCAAGCCTGGTGAGGTCTTTTTTAGGCACTATTCACATGTTGGTGCTATGCTGGGCTAAGAAAAAAAAACCAGATAAACACATGCAACAAAGATCTGCTTAGTCTCATTAACAAAAAAACAAAAACAAAACAAAACAACAACAAAAAAAGCAATCAAATGAATTAATGGACTACACCCTAGGAATGCGTCACCGAAAGAAGCAATGGAGGTAACAATGAATAAAATTTGTACAGTTACTGTTCTCAAGACATTAACAACCAAATCAGAGATCATGAGGCAAATGAAGATGCAAACAAAATTTAATTTCTGGATTAGTATTTGCCAATGCAATAAGATAAGAAAAAGATATCCCATTTAATGGCAATAGAAACTACAGAACACCTAAACATATTCACTAGAAAATATGTAAGGCTCATGCAAAGTACACTACACTATTTCATCTACATTTGCTCAAACATCCCTTGATAAAAAAGAAGCCTTCCCTGAACACTTATATAAACTAGCAATCCCACCAAACCTATTCATCTGTTCCTTTAGCAAACATTTTTTTTTCTTCTCCAGATAGGACCTACTTTAAACAAGCTACAGCATAATCTCAATAAGCCCATTTAAATCTATTGAAAATTTTTAATATATATAAATAAAAACAAGGAAACATTCCTATGATGAATACAGTTTCTTCCTAAGAACTTTGAAGTAAAATTCACTCACTTTAAGTATAGAGATTGATGAGCTATGACAATTACATACAGTCACATAAACAGAAACACAGTTAAAATATAGAACATTTCCATCACCTCAGAAAGTTCTTTCATGTCTCAGTCAACTCCCTGCCCAAACTCTGGCAAACCATTGATGAGGAAAAAATGAAGTTTTGCCTTTCCTGAAATTTCACATAAAAGGAATCATATGTAAACTTTTGTTTGATTTATTTCACCTGGCATAATATCTTGAAATTTATCAACATTGTTGAATCAACAGTCCATTCCTTGTATTGCTGAATAGTATTTCTATAATATGGATATGCATTTTTTTATCCATTTGTAAGCAGGTGGACATGAGTTATTATCAATGTGAAGCTATTTGAATGATGCTACTGTGTACATTCATGGTAAGTATGTATGTGCATATGTTTTCATTTCTAGGCGAGAACTGCTGGGTCATATGTTCAATGCACATTAATATTATAAGAAATCACCAACTGTTAGTTTCTAAATGGCTATACAGTTTTGCACTTGCAACAGCAATATGTGAGAGCCCCAGTTCCATATCCTGGTATCATCAGTTTTACGTAGAGTTTTAAATCATGGCTTATTTTGCTTTAAATTTACATTTCCATGATAACTAGTGACACTGGGCCTCCTTATACACTTCCTTTTGTGACTTCTTTTTTCACATCATTTAGCCATCTTTATTGGGATGCCTTATTATTGTGTTATAAAAAATCTTTATATATTCTACACATATGATCTTTGTGAGATGTTTTGCAAATATTTTCTTCCAGTCTACCTTTTCTTTCTGGATGTTTTGTAAATATTTTCTTCCAGTCTACCTTTTCATTCTTTGTACTATGATTTGAAGAGTAAACATTTAAAATTTTTATTTAGTCCAATATTTGTGTGTCCTGTTTAAGAAAGCTTTGCCCAATATAATGTCACAAGATATTCTGTTTTCCGTGGAGTGAATCTAAACAAACTTTCTTATGCATGGATGTGGCATGGTGGGTCCCAGCATTGAGTGTATCCACAGGGCACTAATAATTTTTTTAAAAACTAAATGGATTGAAGAGGAATTGATGGAGTAGAGGAAGGGGAGTGAGGGCAGAGAGGGAGCAAGTGCTAGGGACTGAATTGGAGTGGGTCATGTTTCATGCTTTTGTGATGTCGTGGTATGTATCCTGGTATTGTATGTAACTAAAATGAATACATTTTAAGAAAAGATATTCTCTTTTCCTGTAGAAATTCTGAACTTCTAAATTTCTTATGTTTAGGTCAATGATCTACTACTTGTTAACTTTTTTTTTTTTTTTTTTTTTTTGGTACTGGGGATTGAACTCAGGATCACTTGACCACTAAGCCACATTCCCAGCCCTATTTTCTATTTTATTTAGAGACAGGGTCTCACTGGTTGCTTAGGGCCTCCCAGTTGCTGAGGCTGGCTTTGAACTCTTGATCCTCCTGTCTCAGCCTCCAGAGCCTTTGGGATTACAGGAGTGCGCCACCATGCCTGACTAAGACTATACCTCTTCACAATGATTTCCCCTGGCACTGTCAACGAAAATCAATATACCATAAAAATGTAGGTCTATTTCTGAACTCCATTTTATTCTATGATCTAAAAGTCTTTCCATACACAAATACCAGACTGTTTTAACTACTGTAACTTTACAGTAAGTTTTGATAGCAGGTAAGTACTTCAATCTTCTTTCAAATAATTTGGCTAATATATTTTAGAATCAACTTACCAATTTCTTCCAATAAGCCTGCTGAAATTTTGATTGGAAGGAACTCCAATGAATGTAAAAGTGGCAATATCCTCAAAATGATATAAACAACATGTTTTTCCCAAACCATACAAATGGAATAGTTCTCCATTTATGTAAGTCTTCTTTACTTTCCCTCAGGAATATTTCAGTGCATGGGTTATATATTTTAAAATTTATCCTACAAATTTAAATTTTTCTTGCTATATATACTCATTCTTTAAATGTTAATTGCTCAGAGAGAAAAGTTAAACTGAATTTTATATTGGCCTATAGCTAAATTCATTTCTTAGTTCTAGTACATTTTTGTAGATTTCTCACAATTTTCTGCATGCAAATTATGTTCTCTGTAAATAGACTATTAAACTTTTTCCTTTTCAATTTATTGTTCTTTTATTCCAATGGCTAGAACCCACAATAGAATATTGAATAAAAATGGTAAAAGCATATACC